CCTTCCATGACGACCTAGATGACAACCCTGTGAGTGCGGCCGCCTCCCACTGTGTCTGGCTCCAAGGTTCTGGGTCAAGTGCAGCATGTAAAACTCCATGCAAATGACGAGTGTGCTGACTGAATGCACGCAGCCTCCCACCCCCAGTGCCTTGCGAGCCCCATTTTTTTTTAAAGCAGCAGCCACAAATGAGGAAAGGTGCAAAGGTAACAACTTTCTGCCAAAACTTTGAAGAATGGCAGATGAGCCCCCAAAACAGACGGGGAGGTGCAGGGCCCGGCAAAGCACACAGCCGGCGAGGGTTCTCCCCACCACCTGCCTGTCAGAAGAGCAAGTGACTCTGGGGGAGCCTGGAGGGTCAAAGACAGCACCCCGGACCTCCCCACGACGTCCACAAGGGAAAGTTCTCCACTCAGCCGGGGTGGGGGGTGGCGACCCTGGCCTGGGGGGTCGAGGAAGAAAGCCCGGACCCCACCGAGCACTGCTGGCCACATGTGAGCGTGGGGCCTGTTTAACTATAGACCCAGGACTGAACTCCCATGGGAACTGGGGTCCAGACAACCAAACGGGAAGATCTTCTACCGGGACAATGCAAGGGCCAGGGAGCTGAGCCCGAGAGCTGGGCGGGGAGGAAGGAGTCGCCCGCCCGCACCTCCTGCCAGGGGCGGGTGCCACCAAATGAGGCTGGCGGGTTTTAGGCATCGCTCAACTTGCTGTGGGTTTCATAATCTTTTATCTTAACCTTAGTGAGGATTTTAAAGGAAGCAATAGTTCTCACAATAGTTGAGAAACACTTGGGTTGCATTCAGCAGTTCCGTGATTATTTTAAAACAATTTTAAGTGAAATTAAAATTTTACTTTCAAATCATGGAAAATGTGATCTTGTTTTTGTAAAATAACGTATGTGTACCTCTCTCTCTGGCAGTCCCCCAGTCTGTATACTTATCCATCCACCTGTCCAATCTGTCCATCTGTCCGTCATTCAGAGTGTGTGACCGAGAATTGACGGGATAGACAGACACAGAGATACAGAGAGATATAAGATTAGAGATAGAGACAGAGATATGCGTAAAAACAGAGCGTGAGGGTGAACACACTTCACTAATGCTAATACTTGTTCCCTGAGTTGGTAGAATTTTAGGAAATCTGTTGCCTTCTACTTCTGGTATCGACCATTACGCTTTGTAGAATAAGCACACATGGGATCGATAAAACCACAAAATCACTATCTCAGAAAACAAGACAGTAATTCGATTGATCAAACGGAGAAGGAAATGGGCCCCGCCCAGACTGCCTGGGACACTTCCTGTCCTGGCGTGATTAATCACGGTGCCCGCTTGCCCTCACAGATGATGCCTGTGTTTGATGCCAGGTTTCCTGAACTTGGAAACCTGCCTGTGTTTGGGGAACTGTCATGGAGAAGGAGGCACAGGTGCCCAGAGGCCCAGCCCCTCACGCTGTGGCGGGACACCGGCAGAGGCGGCCTGCCTCATCTTTCTCTCAGTCCCCTGAGGGGGAGCCAGCCGTGCAGTCTGCGGGGCAGGACAGGTGCTGCCGGGGTGGGGAGCTTTCTGGAACAGCCAGGGGAAGGGGGAGGAGGACCTGGCTGGCCCCGTCTTGCGTCCCGTCTGTGGGCGGTAACTGCTCCTCACTCCCGGGATGGGATCTCTCACATTCCACCTCGCGAAGCGAAACGGAGCACTTCTATAAAACCCTTACGCTCCCCGAGTTTCTCACAAAACACCCACTTTAATATGCATCGAGCCTGAGCCCAGAGGTTCAAAGCAGGTAGGAAACATGCTGACCCTGAACCGTGACCCCAAAGGACTTCCCTTGACTGGGGTCAGTGGCCCTGGACCAGGTTGAGTTCAAGGAGTCAATGACCACATAATTTGGGCTCACAAAATATTGATTTTTGTTTCCAGCAAATTATACCCTGGCATGGTGGCCAAGAGGCCACATGGCCAGCCTGCAGCAGAAACTCCAGGCTACCTGGCTGTCCAAGGACGCCCTGTGACCAGGACCAGCTGGAAAGTGAGTCATGCAGGGCTGCGGGGGCTTCGGGTGCCTTCCCGGGGCTGGGTCCAGGGGTGACAGCCCGCTCTGGGAGGGTCCTCCCGTCCAACTTGCCCCCACGGAAAGTCTGCGGCACTTGGCTTTTTCAGACCCCCTCCAAATGAAGTGAACTCAGGAAGTCAGGGCCGGCTCGGGACGCAGGTCTCTCCGGGGCACTCTAAGCCCCAACCAACTGTCCCCAGTTCCTGGGAGCCCCAAAGCCCCAAAACTACTGGGGTTTGGGTACAAGTGGGCGGAGCCAGGTAGCAGCCGCTCCTGTCCGTTCTTTGTACAGCGATGCAGCTCGCGATGGACCCCAAACGCAAAAAAATGCGGGCATTTCTTTGCAACTCAGCCCCAGTTTAAACAGAGGTGAGTCCTAACAGGAAGGAACACGTGCCCGGAGACCCCGAAGGGCGCCCTAAACCCTGTAAGAGTCGTCTTCCCGCCCTGCAGCGGTTCCCGGCAGAGCCTAGGATGGTAAGAGCCTTGGGCATCTGACATGGGACGTCCTGTCCAGCCCCTCCCGCGCCAACATCCTTCTCATAGCCCAAGGCTCAGTGCCTCCTCTCCCCTGGGGAGTGGGGAGGAGAAAGTACATGCACATACGGACACACACACACACACACGCACACGCACGCACACACACACGTGCAGGACCCCAGAGTAGGAAGGAAGGCGTCAGAGGGAGCTCAGGGCCCCGCAGATACGACTGAAGGGTGAGGCAGATGGGCGCCGAGCACCCCACACCGCAGCGCTGCTCTCTGGCTGTGCGCTTACCACCACGGGCAGGGCTGGGCTTGCTCACTTTGAACCTGAACTTGGAAACCTGCCTCCCCCTTTCCTTCCCCGGGCAACAATGCGGAGGTCTGAGTCCAGCGCGGAGCACTCCCCCTCACGCCCTCACCACGCCAAACGGGACATTCACTTTCTCCTCTGCCATCCACGAACCAAGCACCACCCCCTTACGGGGAAGAAGCCGCCCTCCTGTTCCACCCCCTCTATGACAGCTCTCCGACCAGTCCTGCTGTCCACCCTCCCCCGGTGTGCTGACCTGCTCTCCTCGGCGGAGGCTCTGCGCTGGCCTTCCTCGCCCTCTAGAAGCCCCGACTGGCAGGGCCACAGGCTCTGCAGAAAGGCAGTGGACCAGCAGGTTTGGCAGGAGTGTCTGTCAGGCCCGGCCTGGCCCTGCCCTGCCCTGCCCTGCGCACGGAAGCGATGTCTTATGCGGGCATCCACACGTCACGCGAGCTCCGGTGCATTCCCACAGCAAGGCCACCATGTGCCGTTTCCTTTGCCTTGTGAGTCAGGGGAATCTTTTGGAAGCTGCCCATGCATCTGGTCAGCCCATAGATGGCGGTGACTGAGAGGGTGACAGAAAACCTCAGATCTTCCCTCTTTTGTGCCCAATCAGCCTGGCCCATCACAAATCCTCAAAGACGATTAAGACAAAATCCGGAGTCCTTCCTCGGTTCTCACGGGCGATTATGAGAAGCATCTAAACAATTCCAATGGATGCACCTGTAGTCGACGTTCAACGATTATTATTTATATTTAGGTGACATTCTAGGTTCTTCCACGTGAATATATATCCAGAATCAGATCACCACTCGACACCTGCGTGGCTGTGCCCCGATCATCACCCACCTGGACACCTGCAATGATCTCCTGGCTGCTTCCTCTGACGCCTCCCAAAGCCAGTTTTCAACACAGTAGGCAGAGTGGGCCTGTTCAAGGAGTCCGGTCATGTCATTCCCTTGGGTTTGGAGGCCGCCAAGCCCTCACCATGTCCTGGGCACGAGCCGCTGCCCGTCTCATACTCGCTGGCCCCATTTGCGTCCACCTGCTCCGCCAGCGCTGCGTGACGCCCCTGCCCCAGCGCCTCTGCACTTGCTGTTCCTGCTGCCGGGGCCTTTTCCCTCGCCTCCTTCAGGACTCCACTCCAGGGCCACCTTCCCAGAGAGCCCGCTCCGGGCCATTCTATTAAAATCACCAGCTTCCCACCCTGAGCCTCCTGCCTCTTTTCCCTGGTTCGTTTTTCTGTATCGGACCCATTGCCCCGTGACATAGTATGGACCCTAATGCCCTATCGTTTCTTCCTGCCACCCCAGTGCGAGCCTGCAACCTCTAGAGGACAAGAACTAGCAGAGCCAGGTCATCTTCCTAAGCCGTTTATCGGAATGTGGTCCTCTGCCCCAAAGAGAGACCACCCTGAAGTGGCTGCTGCGGCAACCGTGATGCATTCGAATGCCGTTTTGTCATCCGTCTGACAGACCCTTCCCGATCTGTGCCTGGTCACCTTTCCTCCCACCTCCCACCTCCCCCGCATGTGTGACGCCACAACCATCCTGGCCTTCCATCCCGCCATTGTGCCAATTCCCTGCCCACCTGGGGGTCTTCGCGCTCTCTGTCCCTTCTTCCTAGAACACTGCTCCCGGGATGTCACCGTGGCCGCCTCCTCCAGACACCCGTAGCCAGCAGCCCCCTCCACTCTCCCACTCTGCCTCATTTCGTCTGCATCACGGTGGCTGTAAAAGCTGCAATCACCTTACTGTTTTGCATGTTCGGTTGGGCTGCCCGTTTGGGGAACACGAGTTCCCTGAGGGCAGCACTCTCGGTCCTGCTCGCCACCCAGTCCAGCACCTCAGAAATGCTCTGGGCACACCTGCTGCCCCGGTGCCAGATGCCTGCAGCGCGGGGTCCGAGGTCCAGCCAGGTGGGTTCAGGCGGGGCGTCGTCAGGTGCCCGCCTGGCCGGTGAGCTGGAGAGAGCTGAGCCTAGAAAGGAACAGAGTTTACCACTTAGTGCCAGGTAATGGGCGGGGTTTCTGGCAGAAAGTTGCTCTTTGGGGACAGCACCGTGGATCCAGGACATGGACTCCTGTGGCAGTGACTCATGGAAGCCCAGCCCAGCCCGGCCCAGCCCAGCAGCACTACACCCAAACCTCCTCCCGCCCTCGGACTAGGTGAGCTGCCTGACCATCTGCGGCCAAGTCCGGCAGGGGCACAGTGGGAGAGGCAGCTCGGGAGGTGCAGCTCGCAGAGCTGTTCCGTCTTGCCCACCACTGTAGCGTGAACTCTGGGAGTTTCTGAA